AGAGAAGCAGACTCCCCACTGAGCAGGGAGCCCAATGTGGGACTTGATTCCAGGACCCTGGGATCATGACCTGAGCCAAAGGCAGATGCTTAACCAACTGAGCCACCCAGGCACCTGACCCATTGGTTATTTAGGAGTATGTTATTTGATTCCACATATCTGGGAATTTCCCACATCTCTTTCTGCTATTAACTCAAATCACTCCTTTGTGGCTGTAGAACATACTTGTTTAATTCATATCTTGTTAAATATATTGAGATTTGTTTTATGGCCTGAAATATGGTCTTCACTGGAGAATATTCTGTGTGCACTGTAGAAACATAGTATTTTGCTGTCATTGAATGGAGTGTTCTGTATGTGTCTGTTAGGTCTAATAGGTGTATTGTGTTGCTTAAATTTTTTGTTTCCTTACTGATCTTCTGGGTGTTCTGTCCATCCTTGAAAAAGGGGTACCAAAGTCTCCAACTATTATTGTTGAAGTGTTTATTTTCACTTTGCTTTTACTAGCTTTTGCTTCATATACTTTAGGGCTCTGTTTTGAGGTGTATATGTTTATAATTATTAGATTTTCTTGATGGGTTGACTCTTTTATCATTATAAATTGTACTTGTTTGTCTCTAATAACAATTTTTTGTGTGTGTTAAATCTTTTTTTCCCCTGAATTTCCAGCTCTCCTTTTGTTTATTGTTTGTATGTTATGGTTTTTATATCCATTTATATTCACTCTTTTAGGGTAGTTGTATTGTTGGATCATACTTTTATACAACATGTCAACCTCAGAGTTTTGATTGGAGACTTTAATCAATTTACATAAAGCATAACTACTGCTAAGATAGAACTTACACCTGCCACCTGCTGTTTGTTTTCTGTGTGTCTCATGTGTTTCTTGTTACTCTTTTCCTCCATTACTGTTTTCTGTTACATAGGTATTTTGTAGTGTATCCTGTTAATTTACTTTTTCACTATGTATTTTTTTTAGAGATTTTTTTTTAATTTATTTGAGAGAGAGAGAGCACAAGCAGGGTGTAGGGCAGAGAGGGAAGCAGATTCCCTGCTAAGCAGGTAGCCTGATGTGGGGCTCGATCCCAGTACCCTGGGATCATGACCTGAGCTGAAGACAGACGCTTAACTGACTGAGCCACCTAGGCACCCCTTTCACTTTGTATTTTTTGAATTACTTTATTAGTGGTTGCCCTAGAAATTATAATTTGGTTAGACTATTTGAGCCCCAACTGTTATATGCTACCTCAGTCAACTATAAAATTAAAATACTTACCTCTCATTTCCTCCATTTCCCAAGTTGTAAGTGATTAATAGGAATGAATGTGAGCAGAAAGAACATAAATCCTATTGCATGTTACAGAATAACCAACTGGCTCAAATGCTTGCTGGGACGGAGGTTTTTTGCACTGGGCAAAGTATTAATGTGGTGAAATTCCAGCCTTGTAAGTGTGGTCTTTCGGGGAAATACCAAACATGTCAAATAATAACAATTATTTGGTAATGAGGCTTTGAAAGAGCTCTGTTTTCTGCTCATTGCTGTGGCTGCCACACTGGGTTGCTACTTTTCAAAGTTGTTATGGAGCTGGAAGTGGGCAATGGGAATAGGGCAAGTTAAAAAACCATAAGGGGTGCCTGGGGGGCTCAGTTGGTTGAGCATCTGACTCTTGATTTTGGCTCAGGTCTTGATCTCAGGGTTGAGAGTTCAAGCCCCCTGTTGGGCTCCACTTTGGGTGTGGAGCCTACTTAAAAAAATCACAACAAAACAACAACAAATAAACAGTGTAAAACCATAAAATTCACTTGCCAGTTTTTTTTTTTCATTGCCTGTATGGAGGAGTATATTTTCAGAGGCCTTTACATTGGCATTTTTGTTAACATCACCGTCATGTTTATGGTCAAGTTTTATGATCCACTAAAGTGATCCCCCTAGCTCTTCATCACAAAAGCAGGCTTAAATTGATATGGCTGCATTCATTTGTAAGTTGCCAGCAATTTTAAAGGATTACTATTTGAGGGTGTCCTTTAAGAGAAAGGGTTTTAGCAAATATTATGTGGTTGTGTTGAGCTTGTTAGTTTAATGAGCAGGTATGAGACAAAACATGATTTAATGGAAACAGAATTTAATAAATAGAAATTACCAACTGAAAAAGTTTATATTGAAGACTATTATTTCCTCTCTGTTATCTGAACTTAGCCATAGGTGAACACACTTTTGCCTTTTGAAAAGTTTTGACATTTTAACCTTTGCTTCAGGCCTTGGACCTTGTCATGATGATCCATTCCTGCAGCCTGATTTTTGGAGAAATGTTGTCGAGGACTGATATTATTTCACTCAAAATACTCAAATTTTTTAAGTTTCTTTGAGCCAGTTGGTTGTTCCGTAACATGCAATAGGATTTATGTTTCTTCTGCTCACACTCATTCCTATTAATCACTTAAAACTTGGAAATGGAGGAAATGCAAGGCTGCCTGTCAATAGTTGAAGAAAGTGAGACTGAAAATTCTACCTTATCTTTCTTGAGGATCAAGGCTGGTGGAATTCACTGCCAAAGTTGTTGGATTTAGCCCTCCAGATTTGATTCATGGTTTTTGTTGCTTTCATATTTTATATACTTCGTTTTTTTAGGGTCATCAAACTTGGTTTATGTTGGGATTTTATTCCAGTGCTTACCCAGCAACTGAGAAAAATATATTCTTTGGAACACCTTTATATAAACATTAACATTATCAATAAAATCATACTGCTTGTTCTTATTTTGTCATTTTGATAGTTAACACTTTACCATGAGATTATTTGAAATATGTCTTAATGATATGCTCTGCTCTTGCTTTTATGGATGCAGGCATAAAATGGGAATTTATGAACCATATAAACAAACTGAGATGAATATGGTAGAGATTAATAGGAAACTTACAATGGTGACAGTGATGTTTGCATATATGTGCGTGATATGATTGTTCATAGGCTACTTCAGGGCTAAGAGGGGTGTGTGCAGAAAACACTGGGTCTATTTTTGGTTACCAGCTTCTTAAGTTTCTTCTCAGTGGTTAGAAGCGCAGTAGGAGGGGGCATGGGATGAAAGAATGGACATGTGGGAAAAACTTATGCTGCCAAGGATGTGCTTCTTTCTTTTATACTTATAGACATGATGACTAAAGTGTTTTTGAACACAAAGGAGAGTTTTCCATAAGAGTACTTTTCTCTAAGGAACATCTTCATCAGTGAATTAAAGAAATTCTATACTCACACTATAGGGAGCAAGGTAAAATTGAGTGTGCATTTAAAAAAATGCTTCTTATTGCCACTAAGGTGGAATTAAAGGTAGAAATCAGATGTCCGTATTGGGTGCATTTTGAACACTGCTTTGTTTTTGCCCATAAAAAGAAAGTTTATTCCTAGACAAATTCAAAAGATCTCAAGCTGTTTCTGAATTTAAAACCTCACCTTTGGGCGCCTGGGTGGCTCAGTCGTTAAGCATCTGCCTTCGGCTCAGGTCATGATCCCAGGACCCTGGGATCGAGCCCCACATCGGGCTCCCTGCTCAGCGGGGAGCCTGCTTCTCCCTCTCCCTCTGCCTACAGCTCCCCCTGCTTGTGTTCTCTCTCTGTTTCAAATAAATAAATAAAATCTTTAAAAAAAAATAAAACTTTACCTTTTTAAAAATGATATTTATTTATTTATTTATTATTTATTTATTTAGAGTGCAAGTGGGGGAAGGGATAGAAGGAGGAGGAGAGAGAGAACCTCAAGAAGACTCCACACTGAGCTTGTGGTTTCATGAACGGCTTTCATCTCATGACCCTGAGATCATGACCTGAGTTGAACTCAAGAGTCTGATGCTTAACTGACTGAGTCACCCAGCTGAATACTATTCATTTGTATTGCTAGTAATATTATTGCAATAACACTTATTTAAATAATAATATATACTATATAGTAAATATAATAACTCATGTTTATTTGATTATTCATTTGCTTAGCATTTGTGTTACCTTCTGAACATGAAGCAAGAGCAAAGTAATGATTGTCCACTGTATTACTGTAATACCAGCTCTTCACCTAAATTATGTTTATATAATTATTCCAGGGAGTACATTCTCAGAACGGTCTTCTGTTATTGCAGGGATTTCAATTATGCTTCTGACCATATTTATAGCAATCATTAATGCCATTATTTTCTACTTAATTAGAGTATAATTTTGGAATAGGTGTAGGGAAGAAGAGGTTTCTTAGGTTTCATAATTTTACTATTGATTCTCTCAATGATGTGACAATTAAATTTGATATCCAACCCAGCTTTAAATGACCATAGAATAACTTGGTAGGTAGGTTATCATAATCAACAACAGCATCATTTTTTCATTCCTTTTGACAAATAGCAAAACACCCAGTAGAGTAGTAGAACACAGTGGTTCCCTAATTATATGCTGTAACCATGTCAAGCATTGCAGGAAATTTATGAAAGCCCAGGAAATAGTCCACATTTATGTTCTAGCCTTCTTAAACAGTAATGGTTCCCTGGCAGAATCTGCACTGCAACATGTGGGAGAGCATCAGGGTTCTGCATCATTTTCCATGATCCCAGGAAAAGCTGGGACTCTTTGATCGTATTCTTTCTAGAGTAAATCACAGCAAACAATGATCTCCTTTGAGTTTTTCATTTATTTTGGCGGGCTATCCCAGTACAGTGTTTTCCCTGGATACCCTCTTTGCAGGGCTATAACTTTCTATGTTACAGGAGATAAATTAGGTCATGGACTGCAGCCCATAATAGTATTATAGGGAGTATAATCACAATGAGCTATTTCGCTGGGGAATGTAATGACGTAAAACGATCAGTCAGACAAAGCGAATGGTGTGGTTAAATGTTTCATTCTTGAAACAGAAATATATTGACCTAATGTGGCTATGGGCCTGAATTATGATTGCCTGGTGTACTAAACAAGTGTACCGAAGATTGCTCTGACTGTAACATGTGGACTCTTGTTGCCAACAGCCCACTTCCTCTCACTGGTCTCTAAAGTGGGTTCTACTTCCTCAGACTTAAGAAGCAGAGTTTTTCTTCCGACGAATAACCAACATGCTTGTCAGGTATTTGAAAACATACAGCATTTTAAATACTTTTCACATTTGGGAACTTCTGTTTTATAATTGTTCGGACATTACTTATTTTTCACAGATTGCATTTTATTGCTTCTCCAGCCAAGTGAGTGGCAAATTAATGGCTGGCCTTCAAACCACATGTGGTGGACCCATTCAGCATTTATGGCAAAACACAGCTGGGCTCCAGAATCAGTGGGAGAGAAATGTCATGAACGTCCAGAGCAACCAGAAATTTCAGGTATGTGTGTTGTATTTTCTAACCATATCAGTCCTTAACTGATGTGGGAAACAAAGGCAGAAGAAAAATTATTAAATTTCCTTACTACCTACAGCTCATTGACAAGTCCTTGAAACAGGCAGAGTGACATTCCTCTAGGGACTCAGCTGCCTCGATGTTAATACTTTGTTAAGGGCAAAAGACAATCTTAGCCCAACCCCTGGGACCCTTTAAGTCTACTTTAACATATAAAAATTCCTTTGGAAACTTCCTTTATCTCTACCCCCAAGATACATGTTGGCAATCATCCCCCAAGCATATGACCCACCAATATACATCTGAAGGGTCTCATGACTCAGGTTTTATTAGACAGTAGTAAATGACATTTTCCCAACAATAGCTAGCCCTCTCAAGGTCCTAGAACCACGCTTCCAAAATTCCTTAGAGACTTACACTATCCCTAACCCCCTCCCAACTTGAAAGTATATAATGGGCCATTCCTCATGACCCCAGTGCAGCCCTTTCTGCCCATGGGTCTTGTCCCCATGCTTTAATAAAACTGCCTTTTTCCACCAAAGACATCTCAAGAATTCTTTCTTGGCTGTCTGGCTTCGAACCCTAACGCCTTTCCTATATCATTAAGAACAGATGAATTAAAAGTAGGATGACCACTGTCCCAGTTGGCCGAGAACTGAGGGATTTGCCAGGACTTTCAAGCACTGAAACCAAACAATCTCAGGAAATTGGGATGTCCAGTCACCCTAAAAGACACCTTTAAAAGAAGTTTTTAAATTTATGTATAAAAACTAAAACTGATATATATTCACATATATTTATATATCAGTAAACTATATCTTTCTAATTATCTTCTTAATTTCTTAAATCCCCTTCTTTTTCTATTTCTCTTACTATTCCAACCTCCTCTTTCTTTTATTTCTTATTCTTGAGAATTACTTATCTTCCAGACTTTTCTCATGCTTTTGAGAGAACAGGGTTATATTGGGAAATGAGGAATTAGACTATTTGACTTAAATACTAATTCCAAATGCTGTTGAAGTAGAATAATTGTCATATTCATTTCATGGCTAAACTCAAATTATTCAGTACAGCCTTTATTTTCCAAAATAATTTTGAGAATGAAAGCCCATGCAAGCCTATAAAAGACAAACTTATTTATTCAGCCTAATAAAACTTATGTATGGTGGAAATTATAATCTAATGATTATTACAGGAGTTCTTGGTAACAGTTTGCATATTTTTACATTTGGGAGAGCCAAGAAAAATTTCCCATTAAAAACAGGATCTTAAAGCATTTTATTCTGAATGCATTTGCTTTTTTAAACCTGGTTTGCAGGCCAATTTAGCCAACTCGGCTAAAGCAGGTTTCCTTTATCATCTATTATTTGAATAGTATAATAATCAATTTTATAATTTTGATACATAGCAGAAAATCATCTGCTATGTGATGGTTGGACTTAGCACTTGCTTAACTATAGGGATTGAATTGGATTGAATTTTAACTTCAGTTATTTTGAGTGGTAAGAGGAAGGATGGGAGAATGAGCAGGATTTCTATTATAAAATTGAATTATAAGCTATAAGAATGGTACATATTCTTAATTGATCTGTCATAAATTCACTGTAGTTTGAAATTTCAGGCTTTTATAAACTAAATGGGGATCCAAAGAGGATCAGAGAAAGTCACTTCATAGATGGTTAAATGACACCTAGATGATAGGACTTTAGAGGAACTGTATGGTTGGAAACATAATTCTGTCATTTGAAGCTTTGCACTCCATTGAAGTTAAATATATTGGTGTGTGTGTAGAGAGGGGGGTGGCAGGGTATCTTAAGTCATCAGGCATTTAAGTCTTCCTGTGAATGATTGATTAATTTATTTAACAAAGACTCACTTGGAGCACTCAGGATGCACCAGGTGGGACTCAGGGAATGTTCCTAGTACATGTAAAGAATTTTCTACCAGCATGGTTGAGCTATAATTGATATACGTGTAAGTTTAAGGTATGTAATGTGATGATTTGATGCATGTACATTGTGGAATGATTACCACAATAAAGTTAGTTAACATATCCATCACATCACATAATTACAGTTTTTATCATGCAGTAAAGACATTTAAGATCTACTCTCTTAGCAACTTGCAAGTATGTAATACAGTATTATTAGCTATATTCCCCATGCTGCTTATAGATACTTAGAATTTATTCATTTTATAGCTGGAAGTTTGTACCCTTTGACCAACATTTCCCCATTTCCCCCACCATGCAGACTCTGGCAACTAAAAATTACTCTGTGTCTGTGAATTTGGCTTTTATAGATTCCACATATAAGTGAATCATAGAGTATTTATCTTTCTGTGACTTTTCTCACTTAGCATAGTACCCTCAAAGTTCCAGCCATGCTATCATAAGGGATAAGATTTCTTTCCTTTCTTGGCTGAATTTGTATATATGTATACCACATTTTCTTTATCCATTCATCTGTTGATGGACACTTCGGTTATTTATGTCTTGGCTATTGTAAATAATGTTTCAATAAATATGAGAATGCAGATATCTCTTTGAGGTAGTGATCTCATTTCTATTGGTTATATACCCAGAAGTGGGATTGCTGGATCATATGGTAGTTCTATTTTTAGTTGTTTGAAGAACTGCCATACTGTTTTTCATAATGGCTGTACCAGTTTACATTCCCACCAACAGTGAACAAAGGTTCCCTTTTCTCCACATCCTTCCAAACAAATTATCTCTTATCTTTTTGATAATAGCCACTCTGACAGGTGTGAGGTGATATATCATTGTACTTTTGATTTGCATTTCCCTGATGATCAGTGTTGTTGAGTATCTTTTCATGTACCTGTTGGCTATTTGTATGTCTTCTTTGGAATGATGTCTATCTTTGGAATGATCTCTATTTTATTTGTGCGTTTTTTTCCCCCACTATTGAGTTGTATGAGCTTCTTATATATTTTGGATATTAACCCCTTATCTGATAGATAGTTTGTAAGGGGGAAGATTAATGATAGGCCTGTGGGAGAGAGACTATGTATTCCTGGATTTAGGGTGTGTGTGTGTGTGTGTGTGTGTGTGTGTGCAGACCTAGAACTTTGAGCACCAATAATGCATCTAATTTGTAGTGGATATTCAAGTGTCATTAACTGCTAGAGAAGTTTCTAGTTTATTTCTTTTTAAAAAAGATTTTATTTATTATTTATTTGAAAGAGAAAAAGAGAGAGAGCATGAGTGGAGGGAGAGCATGAGTGGAGGGGGGAAGGGCAAAAGGAGAGGAAGAAGCAGGCTCCCCACTGAGCAGGAAGCCCAAAGACGCGGGACTTGATCCCAGGACCTTGAGATCATGACCTAAGCTGAAGGCAGATGCTCAACCCACTGAACCACCCAGGAGCCTCTAGTTTATTTCTTAACACTTCTCTTCTTTCTCCCCATGTCTCTCTGTCTTTTCTCAATAACAAAGCAAAACAAAACAAAACACAAGAGGAACAAAACAGAGCCAAGAGTGCTTTTGAGGGGATTGAGTCACAGTGACTGGATGCTGAAGGATGGACTTGCTGAAGTCCGTTCTGTCCGTATGCTCACATAAACTTTAATGACTGAAATGGGAGTTTGTGTATAAACTTTGTCAGCATTTACACATCTTTTCTGACTCTGCTTCAGAATCAATGGTAAAAGAATCCTACCTAACCTATCTTTGCCAAGCTTTGTGCGTTCTCATCTCTGTCTCCAACTTAAGGTCAAGGTCTTTACTGGCAGGTAGCCGGACGGAGACTTGGACGTTGGGTAGAGCTGGAACCTGCTGAGTCTTGTGTGTTAAACCTTTTAAAACAACTTCCTTGTTTTTCCCAGACACCCATTCCCAAATGGCACATTGCAGGGGCTGATGATTAAATATGTGTAGCAGCTAATATAAAACTTAAAACTCCCAAATATATCACCTCCAGGGCTGTTGAGCTGTAGCTGAGGCAGCGAGGTTATTCACTTGGGTGCTTTAAAATGCGGCAGTGGCTCCAGCAAAAGCAGATGCATGTGCAGTATATTAACTTGTTTGCCAAAATACTTTATTGCTGATATGAAAACAGCGCCTCTACCTTAGAGGCTTTGTAAAACTTAGGAAAGCGTATGACTCTCTTGGGATCCTTTGGCTACACCAGTCTTTTAAGATTGCAGGTATGTTTTCATACTGTCCTGTCAGCAAGAGAGCAGCTGTTCACATGCTTTTGTTTAGCTGGGCCACAGAGATGCACTATGCTTGTCATACTGCCCACCACCCTCTCATAGCTTCATCCTGAAAAGTTTTAGCAAGAGGCTTATTTGAGGGCATTTTGTAATCAGTGTCTCCAGACAATAGCTGCTGCCTCATCGGTTTACAAGCCTCCGAGAATTACTCTGTTTTCTGCAATTTCCCCTCCATGCTGCCTTCGGACAGTTTTAAAGCCATTCATGCTTCCTTTAGAAATATCCACATAGGAGATTTTAGTTTCAGCTGGACCCTGGCTTAGGATGGGTTTCTGAGGAAGCCTCTGGATCTGGCTGTTGTCATGTACTTTACTTTATCTGTAAAGTACAATGCCCATGCCTTAGTAAAATTGAAGCCCATTCATTTCTGAGGGAATACTGCAACATGACAAGAAATGGTGTTTATGCATCTACTCAACAAAGATAGCAGCATTTAAGAAAGTTCTGAAGATGTTTAAGGAGTAATAACATCTAGGATTTACTGAGCACTTCCTATAGGTAAGGCACTGCATTTAGTCCTTTGGATATATTATTTTATTGGCCCAGCATGGCAGTCTTCTGAATCAGAACTGTAATTCACCCCACTGTTCTCATTAGGATTAAGAGCTTCAGAGAGTGGACTAACCTATTAAATTCCATCCAGATTAGAACCCAGTATAGTTTGATTTCACATCTCAATCATTTACTCACTGAGCCGTGATCATTTTTTTATCATGTTAAAACATTATAAGGATTTATAAAATATAGACGG